AGGACTAGGAAGCAGTAGGTACTGGAAACAGCTTGGCCTTCAGGGATCAGTGAGAGCTTGGCGAGAAGATTGGGTCAGGCCTCTCTGGGATATGCCTCTTGTCTTGCAAGAGGTGAGAAGGAAGTGAATGGGTGGACTGAATTCTCCACGTCCCTGAGGCTGGAAGTATATGAGCAGAATGAGAGCAGAGAGGCTTACACTGAGCACCTCAGCAGGTTCTGGTAACCTCCTTTTTCTACATTACCTGCTCTATCTTCCACTGCCTGTGGGATTGCTCTTCCATAGGATATGCCAGCAAATACACCTGATCCCAATAAAGCAGAAAAAGAAAAAAAAAAATCTATGAGTGGGGGGCACAAACCTACACAGAAGAATATAAAACAAAGAGAACACAATACCTGTCCAGAGAAACAGAGCTGGGAAATAGATGGCAACTTAAATAAAAAATACTAAGAAGAGTTAGTGATATTTGAATGTAGTACAAATTAGATTTTCTAGAGCTTCCTAATTAAATACCTTAGTAGAGTAATATTTAAATATGTGTGTATGAGATTATATATATATATATATATATATATATATATATATATATATAGTCACTCTTGAGATGAGATTACAGGCCTGGAATATATCAATACAATAACTGTAACCAAGCACATAGCAGAAGATAAATCATGGAAATTGTTAGTTAAAGGTAAGAGATGTAGAGAATAAATCTAGGGTACTTAACAAGCATTTGATTGACATTTCAGAAAGAGGAAAGATATGAAGGTATGAAGGAGAGGTAATTTTCAAATAAATGATAGAATATCCTTAGCTGTAAGAAAACTTGAGACTACTATAAAAAGATTATTGAGTTCTAGACATTTTTGCTCTAGTAGCATAGTGGCTAAGACACTTGCCTGCTAACCAGACGGCTGGCGGTTCAAACCCACCAGCCACTCCTCGGAAGGAAGGTTGGGCAATCCTACTTCCGTATTGATACTGCTTCGGAAACCCAAGGAGGGGTCACTATGAGTCGGGGCCGACTCGACGGCACATAACAACAACAACAACAACAGACATTTTTGTTCAGCAAAATACACACTTGAAATTATTCCCAGTAAATTTTCCGATCTCTAAATATAATGAAAAAATCTTGCAAATGCACAGTCTCAACACTTCACTCCCCCCAAAAAAGGGAATAATTGAATAAATTAGATGTCATTGGACTTCTGTAACACTGGAAGCTAGAACACGTACAAAAATTAATTAAGAAATTGTCCCCCAAAGTACTCCTTTATAAATAGAAATAAGAGTAACTATCTGTGGATCTGATTCACTGATCTTAATTTTGTAAAATTATAAATAAATAATAAAAACGTAAGCAAAACATCTTACCTACTTTTAAATTAAGAAGTATCTTCGTAAATAACCCTACCTACTTTTAAATTAAGAAGTATCCTCATAAATAACCCTAGGATCAAAATGAATGTCAAAAGAATCAATGAAAAGAGAAATGCTTTATGCAAACATCTGTAGGACTCAGAGCAATCCTGGAAGTGGAAATGGGGAAAAACTTGTGTTTACTTTGGCTATTAAGACTAATATAAATAGGAGGGAATATAACAGGAAAGGAAAATCTAATTGAAGGACATTAAACATGATCTTACTAAATGGAAGGCATACCACGTTCTTGAACAGAAGGCAGTATCACACACAAAATTCCAACCAGAATTAATACATAAATTTAATGTGGCTCTAGATAGAATCCCAGTAATGTTTTCCTGAAATTGTGTAAGAAGATCTTAACATTTTTATAGTGGAATAAATGCACATATGAAGCTAGGAAATAAATGGAAAAAAAAAAGTAGAATATTACTGTAAAGCCTGTGGGGTCATATAGTACTAGATATGCAGATTAGTGAAACAAAAACCATGAATAGAACTTGAAGGGTGTTGTGTGTGTGTGTATCTGAATGTGTTGTTGTTAGATGCTGTTGGTCAGTTCTGACTCTTAGCAACCCTCTGTATAACAGAACAAAACATTGCCCAGTACTGTACCATCAGACAGTGTTTCAGTTATTCATAAGGTTTCCAGTGCATAATTTTCTCAGAAGTGGGTGGCCCCATCTTTCTTCCTGGTCTGTTTTAGTCTGGAAGCTCTGCTGAAACCTATATACCATGGGTGACTTTGCTGTCATTTAAAGCACTGGTGGCATAGCTTCCAGCATCATAGCACACAAGCCACTAGAGTATGACAAACTGACAGATAAGTGGTTTATCATATCTTACATCTTATCTGAATGTAAGTTATGACAAAAATTCAATTCCACTAGAAAAATGTATGTTATTTAGTTGGTGGATCTGTACAACTGGCTGTCCACTGGAAACACATAAATTTGAATCTACATAATAAACAGTATACAAAATAAATTCCAAATGGAGTAAAGATGAAAAAATACACAAAAGAAACAAAACTATAAATCTGATAAGAACATCTCAGACATTACATTTATATTCTGCCAGAGTGGAGCAAATTAATTTCAAATAAGAAGTTAGAAGAAGAGATTAATTTATTTAATAATATTAAGGTTTTTTTTGGAAAGATGCCCTAAAATCGATACACAAATGATAAACTAGGAAAAGCATTTTTCATTTAGATAATGAAGAGTCACTATGAAAGAACTCTTTTAAATTGACAAGAAAATGGCAAACAACCCAGTTGGACAATGGGTAAAAGATAAATGTAGGCAGTTAACAGAAAGGCTTATCCAGATACTTGACAAACTTATAAGAACAATACTTAAATTAATTGGTAGTTGGGGAAATTAAATATTTCATTTGCAATAAATAGTACATCACTTTATAGCCATCCGACTTTTCCTGTGTATAGAAAAGGTAATTCTCAGTGCTGCTGGAATGTGAACTCTTTATGCCTTGCAAGGTGATCTCATAATACCTATTAAAGTTTAAAGTGTTTTTAACATATAACACAGTGGTCCCATTCCTGGGAATCAATGCCATAAAACTAAAGCCTTTTATACAAAAGAAAATATGACTGGGGATGATTATTTCTACATTGACCCCAGTGGCAAAAAACAGAACCAAAGTGTGTGCCCATCAAATAGAGGGTTGGTTGGAAAGCCATGGTACATACATACCACATAATATTATTCAACCTTTATAAAGAATGAGTTAGAGCTATACCAGTTGATTTGGAAGGATTCTTCTGTCTCATTGACTAAGAAAAGTGACATTTAAAGCATATGTGTGTGTATGTGTATACATATATATATATGGAGATCTGGTGGCATGTATATATATGGAGCTATGGTAGCACAGAGGTTAAACCATTTGGCTGCTATCCAAAAGGTCAGTGGTTTGAATTCAATAGCTGCTCCACAGGAGAAAGATGAGGCAGTCTGCCTTTGTAAAAAACTTACTGCTTTGGAAACCCTATGAGGCAGTTCTACTCTGTCCTGTAGGGTCACTATGAGTCATGATCACCTTGATGACAATTCTTATGTATAATAAAAAATACATCAGAAGAACCCTTTTATAAAAAAACAAACATTAGTAAAAGATCCCTATAATTGACTGTGATTATATATGAACATAAAGAAATATATATATGGATGCATACTACGTGGCTCGTATGAATTAGATCTAGGTTTGGGGGGTTGAATGATAACATAAAAGAGAAGATAGGAAGCTCTGGTGGCACAGTGCCTAAGACTGCTAACCAGAAGGTTGGCGGTTCAAACCCATAAGCTGCTCTACAGAAGGAAGATGGGGCAATCTACTTCCGTAAAGATTGACTGCCTTATAATTCCAATGGGTGTCACTATGAGCTGGAATCGACTTGACAGTGCTGTTTTTGTTTGTTTGTATGTTCTTATAATTGAGTGTGTGATAATATATGTGCATAGGGAAATATATGGATGGATGCTTACTATGACTAGTATGAGTTACATCTAGGTTTGGGGGTTGAATGATAACATAAAAGAAAATAGGAAAGGGCAATCAAGCAGCCATTTTATATTCAATTTTATATTTTTTAATTATAGTTTGTGTGTGTGTGTGTGTGTGTGTGTTTGAAAACTTAAAAATGACATTTTAAGAGAAATTAACGAAATTGCAGAAAAATTATGTACGGCTCTAAGAAAATAGTGTTGATTCTAATATTTCTGTAGTTAACAGCTTATAGATTTTTTATTTTTGAAATATCTGTAGTCTTAAGTTTTCGAATTTTGAGAGAAAAATATCCACATATCTCACAATGATTGTGCTTTTTACTAAGTTTTCTTCTCTTATTCATTTTGCTGTTATCTTTGTGTATTATTTATCTTATTTTGTGACTATTTATCTTCCTTGTAGATTGTATTTTTCATTATTAGGCAATATCCCACCTTATCTCATTTATTTCTTTTGGTCTTGAACTGTATTTTCTAACATCAGGGCTACCAACCCTGCTTTCTTTGCTTGCATTTGCCTAGGACATTCATTTTCTGTCCTGTCATTTTGTAAAATGTGTGAGAATGGCTCAGGACCTGGCAGTGTTCTGTTCTGTTGTACATAGGATCACGGTGAGTCGGAGCCAACTCGATGGCACCTGACAACAACAACATCCCTTACAAATATCACATAGCAGAATTCTTTTTCCAAATCTCAGAGCCTCCCTTTTTGTTAAGGATTTTAGCCCATTCATGCTTACTGTGGTATTTGACAGTTTGGGTTCATTCTTTCAGTCTTATTTGTGGCATACATGACCATATGAATAATTCTAAATAACTGACACTTTTTTCTTTTTTGGATGCAAGAATTCTCTTTTTTTTTTTTAAGGTTGTTTTGAGAGAATCACAATTCTGAATTTCATATGCAATATGAAGGTTGGGTGAATCAGATTGGGCTCAATGGCAGTGTGTTTGGTTTTTGGTTTTATGCAAGATACGTCATGATTGGTACTGATGTAAACACATTGAGAACATTTCTTTTTTCCTTCCCTCATCTACCTGAAGACAAATTGAGTGGCAGCAATAATACAAACAAAAGACAAAAAATTGCTCAAGACTTTCTCAACTCTATTGACCAGACAGGAGAACTTTTGGCAGTGCTTGAAGATGATGAAATTGATGAAGTTAAACAAGAGAGAATGGAGGTATAGTACATGCTTCCCTTTTTAGATAATATATTAATCCTTGCAGTACCTGTGTCACTTTGTTCTATTCTAAGGTTCTTTATATGTCGTCTGAAATGTCCAACGCATTGCTTTTATGACTGAAAGCAGGATGTTGCAGTGGAGAATGCCCTGGAGAAGGAGTCAAGCTCTGTCTTCAGAGTTGACTTTGGGAGATGACTTCAGTCCTCTTTTCCTCCTCTGAAAATGAGTAGGTTTCCAACTTTCCTTTTGGAACTTTCATTTAATAATATTATTTCATTCCATAAAAGAAAATTTATAATTATTTACTTTTTTTTGTTGTCATTGTTCCAAATCACCAGTTGTCTTTGTGGGCAAAGGTGATTCTTACTGTTTTTGTCTTGGTAATATAGTGTGAAGAGTTATTTTTCAGGCTGGAGTTGCAGGTCTATAGTTGGACTCCCTGGCTCAGGTAGTATCCATGGCAATTACATGCTTTATATCACAGTAGCACAGAGTTAGTGCCACATCTTTCGATTCCCGGGGTATGTTTTAACAGTGAATATGAAAACTGTGGCTTCTACTTACCTTAGCTGTCTATGCATGACATTAACATTTCTTTAAATACTTTTTCTTTAAATAATGATTGATTTTATTTGAGTGTAAGCACAAGGCAGTATGCTTATTGTTTTTATTACTATCATATACTTTTACATGTAAAAAATCTCCATTTTCCCGTTCTGTTGAAATTAGACAAGAGTGGTAATTCCAGAACTCCAGAAGGAGTGCCTACTTTATCATAGTCTCTAGGCTTGCTAAAATATAATTATTTCATGTTAAATTTTGGAGGAAGTCCAACAGACATACATGCTTTATAAACTTTAATAACCTTCTTTAAAGAATTAGTATGCTTAGATCATGAACTGTGATCTAAAGTCACTGTTCTTTTTAGGTATCAATTACCTTAGAAATGTGTGGTTATCTTGGTTTTGGGCAACTGCAAATGGTTTTAGTTCAAATTTGCCTTGGGCCAAAAACATGCTAAGTTGTCCAAAGTAGATGATAAACATATATTTCTGATGTCATTATGGCCTAAACAGGATATGATTGTTTAGTGGCATGGTTTCACTTATGATACATTACACAAAAAGCAAATATTGTTTATGTTTTATTTTAAAAACATTATTGTAAAAATGAGCATTAAGAAAGCTTTGTTAAGTAAGGGCTGTACATGAAACATTAGTAAAATTGAACAAGTACTTTTTCAGTTTTGATGGGAAAATCTCTGTTAACCAAGCCCATTGCCCAGAAGGGCATTCCACAATCAGGGAGAAGAAAAGAAATGGAGCATTTTGTAATACTAAGCACGTAACAGCAGGCTACTGTGGGTCTGGAAAAATGATGAGTCAATAAGGTGCAAGTAAAAGTCAGTAAAATATCTGGAAATACGGGGTAGAGAAAGCTTGGGCACTTATGCAGTGTGTATACATCTCCTCTGTAGTCATAATATATATTACATAGGGGTAACCAGGGCAATAAAATATCAGTAGTAAATAAAAATAGTTCTAATGAAAGTCAGCACCATCGATGCAATAAAAATTAGTTTGGCGGTTTCATCAAGCTTTATATCATAAATACAATCTTCTCTAACCAGGATAACAAAGAGGGGTTTTTGAGAGTCTACTCATCCAAATAACAGAGTTTAACTGGATAAAAAATGCTGAACTTGTAGACATAACTGTAGACAGTAGAAAGTGGAACCATTAAGAGTATAGGCCCTGCCTGCTTTTAATTTGACAGGTTATACTTTCAAGCGTAAACCACAACTGTGGTAGTCCAGATGAAACCACTTTGGACTCACAGACTGCAATCTCTTGCTTTGAAAGTGCAGTAGAATAATCAGTCTTGGCATCACTCAGTGATTTAATTTTCCTCTAAGCATCACTTATGGTTGCAGAAACTTTATTTACTACCTTCTCCCCTAGATGTATGAAAAATGGTGTAGACCTAACCAACAAAGCTTATTTTTGTGTTTCTTTCTTTCTTTTCTTCCTTTAAATGTAATCTAAAAGAGAAAAAATTAGTCACTCGGGACCCTAGCTTTTTCCCAAAACATTGAGCAAGCAAACAAAAAACAGATTAAGTTCTTTATTAGAAACTAAGTCAGTTTTCAACTGACTCCTGTGTGTGCCTGGCTTTGTGTTGCACTCATAATTTATTCCATCGGTATTAAGCATATGTGACTTGAAGTAAATGTCTGAATTTTCACATCCATCTCTTGCTAGTCCTTCACCATGATAGTTAAGAAACTCTTTACCTATTTCTTTTTCGCCAGCACCAAATATCTGCCGCTTGGGTGTGTTTATAAATAGAATGAAAAGAGCCCTCGTGACACAATGATTAAGTGCTCAGCTGCTAACCAAAATGTTGGTGGTTCAAATCCACCAGTGGTTCCATGGGAGAAAAGACCTGGCAATTTGTTCCTGTAAAGATTACAGTCTAGGAAATCCTATGGGGCAGTTCTGCTCCATCACATGGGGTCATTATGAGTCAGACTCGACAGCATACTACACCACCACCAATAACAGAGTGGATCTGTGATCTGATCTCTGAGGACCCTTCTAAATTACCAAATAAGGATTAAATAATGTTCAGAATTGTTTGAGTTTATTTGAGGGACTGGGAGAGCGAAGTGGTCAGGGAAATGTTAAGCATAATAATACATAACACAGCAAACTACTGGTTACCTCCAGCCACCTCCTGCCCCAAGTCTTTTACATTCCAGAATGTGACAGGTGTGTCTCAGTGTTGATCCTGTTTCTTTCATTCTGAATTTTTGAAATCCAATCAGCCAAATGTAGCTGTGTCAACCAAAGGCCAGGAAAGGGTCACTAAAAGCTGCAAATAGCTTTGGACTTTCCTTACAGTGTAGGAAGAACTGGAACCACTCATAAAAGAGCCTCGCTTAAGGCCCAGCCACTCTGCTGATGGAAGAAATTGAGAAGCTCAAATTTAATGTGGGTCAAGAAAAATATCCAGTCAAATAAGCCACTGCATTTGCAAAGGAGATGTAAACAATGTACACTTAAAAAATTGGGTGAACTGTATCTTCAGATTAACCCTCAAATTGATAAAAATCGACAGGAGCAAGGATTAGAGTTTACCAGAAAGAGCAGAGTGAGATGCTAAAAATCTCCAGTGAATATTTACTTTGTGCTTTTAAGTCAGAGGCCTAATACTGCAAAACAGAGAGAAAGCAGAACAGAGTACGTAAAATTTGAGGAAGTTATAAAAGATTTTTTTAATAAGCTTTAAAATGATTTCCCTCTTACCCACCAAAATATATAAGATCCCAGGTGGTCCCCCGACTTCTCAGTATGGTGGATTTGCTTAATAGTAAACTTAATACTTAATAGTAATAATTTTGGCTTTTAGTTTTTGTTTCTATAAAAATAATTTTATAGAATTATAAAATAATTAACATATTACAAAGACATGTGTAGTTGTATACATTTTTTTTACAAAGTTCCTGTCATGTCAGTTCCAGCTCACTGAGACTCCCTATGTACAGAGTAGAACTGTATTCCATAGGATTTTCAGAAGTAGGTTGCCAAGCCTTTCTTCTGAGGCACTTCTGGGTAGACTCAGACGTCAACCTTTTTGGTTAGCAGCTGAGCATGTTAATCATCTATAATACCCAAGGACTCCATATTTATATATTTATGTATATGTATACATACATATATTATGTCCATGTACATTGTTGTTGTTATGTGCTGTCGAGTCGGACCTGACTCAGAGCGACCCCTCCTTGGGTTTCTGAGGCAGTATCACTATGGAAGTAGATTGCCCCATCTTCCTTCCAAGGAGTGGCTGGTGGGTTTGAACCACCAGCCTTCTGGTTCGCAGTCAAGTGCCTTAGGCACTACGCTACCAGAACTCCCGTACACATACTGTATTTATAACAATAGAAGTATTATTTTACCAGATTTTTTTTAAGTTAAAGAACAATGAGAGGTGTATCAGAAAGGAGGATTGAAAGGGTAAAGCTTTAAAATGGAACAAAGTCAGTCATTTTATGTTACTAAAAGATGTTGCATATAATGAAGACATAGTAATTCAAACTGTTGAGTACAAGTTTCAGAGCATTGAAAGTTAACAAACAAAAGCTTCTGGTGGCAGTGTGGAGAGATAATAATGAAAATGCATTTTTTTGTAGAGACTTGAACATACTGTTCTCTATCTTTAACAAATTGACTCGAACAAAATTATTTTAATAATAAAAATTTAAATTTATCTAAGAGATGCATATAGAGCATTTTATAAATGAGCAGCAAATTAAAACCTTATTTCAGGTAGCTCCAGGAATTCCATAGGACCCTTTAGGGAAGGTTGGGAGAGATTTGGTGGGGCTCTAACCTTCCTCCTTCCCATCCCCCATCTTGAATTAGTACAACTTTGATTTTACCTACTGTGTCTGCATATTGTCAAGGAAGAAAGGATTTGACACTTTTTTAATTTCATTGAAAATCACTATAATACGCTCACTGTCCAGCTGTTCATGAGATATGTCCAAAAGTTGATTCTATTCAGTCTCCTTCTCATACATACACATTCAAGAAATTCCAAAAATTTTAAGTCCATATTATCTTACCAGAGTGAAAAAAAAAAACACAAAACAACCTAGAAAGCTATAACAAACAAAATCCTAACTGCTTAAATCTGTACCAAAACTACAAACTACCAGGAAACTAATAAACTAACAATAAATAAATGAAAAACTACTCCCATAGCCTATTTAGATGATAATAGCAGTAAGACTATTCCATATACCATTCAACAAATATGCACAAAGCTTTATTGAAAAAGAGGCAAATTTATGGCTTTTTAAAGCTTCTGTTATTAAATTGGAAAAATGAAAATAAATTAATTAAACATTCAACTCAAAATTAGAAATTTTATAACAAAGTAAACAGGAAAATGGAAATTATAATTATAAAGATAAAAGCAGAAATAGAGTT